CTACTGCTGTTCACTGTTCCAGATCAGTGTCCGCCACTGTTCATTTGTTTCTGTGTCATGTCATGCCATCTGTCTATGTTTTTGCGCCGCCATCACCATCACCGTCACCGCCATCTCCTGCATCACTATTCCATATTTGCATTACTGTTCTAGATCTGCGCTGCTGCTGTACATCGAAGGGAGCGACGCCATGAAGACCTCTGTTGTAGCCGTGTGTCGTTGTTGTACAGCCGAGGAAGCAATGCTGCAAAGACCTCCATTGCTGCCATGAAGATTGCCGTTTTTTCTGCCGTGAAGACTACACTATGAAGGTATTTTTTTAATAATTAATTTATAATGTAATATATTGATATATTTATATATATTTGAGAATAAATTTCATATATATTTTTTTAATAATCAATATTATAGCTAATATATGAATTAGAGTTATATATATTAGAATTATGGAGTATTTGTAGTTGATAATTTAGATTAAATTTGAGGAAACTACTTGAACATTTTATTTTATTTATGAAAATACTTTTAAGGGAGATTATTGTTATTAATTAAATTACAATTGATTGATAGAATTTAGATGCATTATGCTACTAAATTTTTATTTGGATGAATTTATTTTTTTAGTTTAAATGTATTGTGTTGTGAAATTTAATTGTTTGATCATTTGGGAGGTTCTTCTTTTAAGGAAGATGTTGTTGAATTTTTTTTTTTTATAGAAATCTAAGTCTTTTGTTTATTGAATTTTGATAATCATATTAGTGATATGAATTGTAAGTGGATGTCGGCTAATCGACTATTTAGAGAATATTGGGATGGTGTGGATGAATTCATTGAATTTGTATTTTGTTGTGATCAAGACCCCTGTGTAGTCATATATCCTTGTTTGAAATGTTGCTATGGAAAAAGAATAAAACCAATAGAATTGAAAGATTATTTAATATGTAATGGGATTGATCCAACTTATACTTGTTGGACCATGCATGGGGAGACAAGGAATAATGCAAATAACTGGAGGATAGTGCGAGCTACTCAACATTTGATCGTGATAGTGGACATATGATGTTGACCGTCTTGATGAAATGATTCATATATATAACTTCATCGCTGAAGTGTTTTAAATTAAGTTAGAATTTATTTCTATCATATTTTGATAATGACATCTTTTATTGTTTTATAGGTATCTACATAATTACAAGGTTGGGAGTGTGGATACTATGTTATGAAGTTTATGAGAGAAGTAATCACACAACAAGAGTTGATCATTCCTGAAAATGTAAGTCAAAAGCTTTGAAATTAAGTTGATATAATGTTAGTTACTTATATATTGCTTTCATATCTTGTGTAGTATTTTGTTGGAACAAAATATTCGCATTTTGCTATGGAACAAATAGAAGATTTAGTTGAAGAGTTATCAGAATATATTATTGGTTGTTTGTGATAGGAAGTTAGATTTCAATGTTAGAAAAATAACAATAATTTCATTTGTTAGGCTTGTTAGAAATTAAACTAGGTTAGTTAGGAAATTGAAATTCTTGTATCAGTTTCAAATTCTTTTCTTGTATGTAAATTTTTATGTTGATATTATTTTAAAATTAGTTTTTGATATTATGATTTGCCATTATTAAAGAGATGTAAAAGAAAATTTAAAAAATCTAATTTTAAAAAAATTAAAGTAATATATGGGAGCGCTCATTTGAGGAGCGCTCCTGTAAAGTAACATACGGGAGCGCTCTTCAGAGAGCGCTCCTATATGAAGGCATACGGGAGAGCTCTTTATAAAAGCACTCCAGTATGGTTGCATACGGGAGCGCTCTTGTAGAGAGCGCTCCCGTGTGTGATGTGTGGGAGCTCCCTTATGGGAGCACTTTTCGGAAAGCGCTCCCGTATACCATACATACAGGAGTGCTTTTTTTAAGCGCTCCCATATATTTCGGAGTGCTCGATATGGGACGCTTCAAAAGCGCTCCCTAAGGTAAAAAAAAAGAAAGCGCTCCTATAAACTTATTTTGTAGTAGTGATTGGAGTGAAACTTGGAAAGAGAAAGGGAGGGATACAATAAGATATTTTCTTAAATTTTCTTTGACCTTTAATTATATTGAGATAATATATTTATTTTTTAGCTAATACTATTATTTTAGTCTCTATTAAAATCCTCTTAAATATTTATTGTTAATTATCTTGGTACTCTCATGTGTATTTTAATCACCAAACACGCATCCTCTTGTGCTAGAATAAAATATAATTTTGGTTCTTTCATGAGTGAGACTAGTCTAAGAGGATGAAAGGAGCATAATAAAAAGGGGCAAATTACATACACTGACCCCCCTCACATGTTAGGGGTTTTTGTTGTAATTTATGTTTCCCATGTTATATATGTATGTATATATATATATATAGTTAGTTTGTATTCTTTCTATAATTGATAGACATAGTTATTTATTTACCCTATAATTATTCATTTAAATTAATAATTTATGTTTATTTCTTTCTATAAGTGTTTGTTACGTGTATTTATGGTTTTAGTTTTAAGTAATAATTATTTATTTACTCATTTAGTATAATAAGTCATATTTAATTATTTCTATAATTTCTACGTTATTATTAATAATTGTTTATTTATTTTTTTATATATCATGCATTGTCTGCTTAAATTTATTTTTATCAGTTACTCTTTTAGATAAATAATTAGTATTTATTTATTTTTTCTATAATGGTCGCGCACACATTAATGTGTTTCAGTATTAGCAATAGTTGTTTCAACCATAATGCCAAATTATGGACCATCTAGAGTGATTGTGGACAATCGCACCTACTCTGAGATTATTTGGGATTCTTTGCTGTCACCTACTTCAAACCAGATAGTACCTCCCTCTCCCTCTCATTTATCACACTTTTTACTTTCTTCATTATCATTAGTATCCTCACTAGCATTAACCTTAGTCACCCTTTCATCTGCCATGCCTCCACCACCACCACCACCATTCTTTGTGTCACCACCTTTGCCGTTTATGTAGCCACCATCATCGTTTATGCCTTCGCCACAACCGCCTTTTTATTTATAGCCGACTTCAATGCGAATGATGTCTTTGACCAAGCCAAATGGGCATATTTAAATATTTTAGAATATTAGGAATGTATATGTGAGACTTTTTTTAGTGTATTTTTGGTGTAAGTACAATATCCCTTTCTTCCATACTCATTAGGAATGCCTAGAAAATTCCCACAAGTTAACCTAATATAATTTGACCGTGTGTAAATAAATATACATATATTTCTATAATCTTACCTAAATGTGTGCAGGGATAGTTTTTCATAACTTAATTTGTAATTTAATTTTTGTTTCTTCAAATATGATGTTATTTAAAAAAAACATTTGTATAGTTCCCCTTAACTTTTATATAAATCTAATTAATAATGATAATGTTAAAAAAAATTCCAACCTTCTAACCAATTAAATCATCCTAATAGGGGGAAGGTTATACCACTCTACATTAGTCATCCTAAAGTTACGACTAAGATTTTGTCGGCATCATTCTTGCAGATGCAGGCCAAAGAAAGACCTAACGTGCTTTGTTTTGACAGTTCTTCCCCAAATGTCTTGTGCTTTTGTATAGTCTCTTAAAACATGAAGAACATCCTCAATCTCATCATTACAGATCGAGCAGGTAGTATTAGAACAGAGTCCACAACTACTCCGGTGCTCATTTGTTAAAATTTGACCATGGAGAATCGACCACATGATTGTTTTGCACTAGTGGGGTATATTCAATTTCCAAAGCTTCTTCCACTACGTGCCTTCAATTATATCATCGTCTTTAAGAAGATCATACACTGATTTCATGGTAAACTGACTACTCTCGTCAAATCTTCACTTCATTGCTTCACAGCCATTTGATAATGTGGTCTGCTCTAATCTTGATTCTAAAAAATCCCTCAGAATCTTGAACTTATTTGTCATTAAAAAATTAATATAAATAATTAAATTATCCTTAATTCAAATATAAATTGTAATTCATAAGTTTTGTTTTAAAATTCACAACTTTTTTTCTTAAAATCGCAAGAATTTAATAGCAATATACAAGTTTTCATTTAAAATTTTAATATTTTTTAAATGTTGTAAATATCAATTGTCATTTGTAAATTTTATTTTAATATTCACAACTTTTCTTTTTAAAATTACAAAAATACAATAATAATTCACAAGTTCATATTTAAAATTCAGAATTAAAGACAATTTGGTTATTTATATTAATTTTTTAATGATAAAAAAATCTCTAGAAATTTTAAAAAAATTATGACATTTTAAGGGATCAAAATATCATTTACATAATTTAAAGAAATTTTATTGTCATTTTCCCTAAAATTTTCAACTTGTTGAAATATAAGCATATAATAAAAAGGGCAAAAACTAAAAGGCCATAGCTTAAAATCTGATAAAATATAGGGACTGCATGTTAATTTTTCAAAATTTATAACAATGTTTTTAGAATAGGAACAGATATTGAACCAAAAAGGTCAGTGATTCAAGGTTCATATAGTTCAATTAGATTGGACCAATAGTTAAACCAGTGATGTAATAATTAAATTAAAAAAATATATATATATATATATAATAATAATAATCTAAATATGAGAAATAAATATGAAATTATTACTTAACTTAAAAAAATTAAATACTTTAAGTTTATTATAACTTAACAAGTGATATGATACAACATAATATTAAATAATTAAAAAATTAGTCATTTTTAAAAAAAATTAATAAAAAATAAAAAAATATTTTTTCAAACAATTCAATTTTTAAAAATTGAATCTAATTTCAAGCTTAATTTTGGTTCTTAATTCTACCGCAAATTTAAAATGACCTGACTCAACTTCAAAAACAATGTTTATATAATAACCGAACTGAAATTGATACCGATCGAGATCAGCCTGTCCAACTATTTGGTTCGGTTAGATTTTAAAATCACTTAAATAATTTCAAGCTCGTAACACGAGGGCCTAATGCGAAAATCGCGAGCTTCTCCTTCACACGCAAACTCGGTACGCTCGCGGCATTCACCATCGTCAAAAATACGAGAAGCCTTCGCCTGCCGCTTTCCTCTGTCCTCCATCATTACCTCTTGCTGCCCGCCTTTGTTTCTGTGCAATCCCTCGATTGTCCTCTCCATGTCGATGAGTATATGGTTCTGTGAGTCTTGCCGTCTCTGTTCATTCTTTCTTTTTGTAATCCCTGTTTCTAATGTAGTGCCGATGGTTATAATTGAGAGGGAAGTGAAGGAAACTAAAAGGCAAGGGGTTTTGAGGGATACGGATAGGAATTCGGAGCGACGGTGACGAGAGGGAGAGATAGGCGAATTTTACGCTGGATGAGTGAGGAGGAGTTATTAGAATGAAGAGGAACAGATTTCTTCTTTCTTTGGTTATATTATTTCTAACTGTTATGTGTTGTTATGATCATTGTACTGTTTTATTATATTATTCATGTTGAACGAAGTAAATGTGTTCAGATTTCTATATCAGAAGCATTGTGGATTCCTCTGGGTTTCATCTTATAGAAATTATCAGAGTTTTTAACAATGTCCTTATTTTTTGGCCATCTTACTGGAGAAATTATTAGCAATTCCTTGGAAGTAGTGGACAGTGCCTAATATTAATCACATATTTTTATTGAAATATTTTATTGCTTAATAATATTTTATCCCATAAAAATATAATGTATTAAACTAATTATGCATAGTACTATCACAGCTCAACCTCAGTTTGGTTGTTGAATCGTAAACCACTTTTTTTATTGGTTTTGATAAAACTATTTTACTTCGTCGGCTGCCTTGTGCTGTGATTTGCTGAAGTGCTGCATTCATGGAGTAATTCATGATTCTACATCGTACTTGTCTGTGTTTAATTTCGTTCAGTGGCAATTTCATGGTTGGGGATTTAAATTTGAGTTTGTAGCTTCACTTCTTTATCATATCTATACCTCACACCAATCTTTTTCACATTAATTTAAATTGTATTGTTGAAAATACATTATACCTCCTCAATTAAGTTCTAATGATGACTTATGTCAACGTCGGAAAGCAACAAGTATTCCCTTTTCTTTAAACAGAACACAAAACACCCCCTTCTTTACACGAGATAGAGTTAATATTTTATTTTTCTAAAATTAAAGTTCTTCCATTACATTTTAAAGTTGTAATTTGGCTTGAATTCAGGGAAGTCAGATGTATTTTTGTTTCCTTTTTTTTTTTTTGGTTTATCTATTTCTTTTTCCATTTAAATTTGCTGCACACACTGACGTAATGCATCTTTACCTCTTTTGGTGAATGTATTATTATTATTTTTTTTTTTTTGTGGACTGAACTAATTAATTCTCACTATGATTTCGATGTTTGCTTATGTTGAATATGCTGGTGTATTTTCCTTTCAATATGTTACAACGCCTATGATTATTTGTTGCTTTGAATAAAGTATGACGGGTTCTATTCTTTCTTGACAACATTGAACATGCTTGATGCTAATAACTACTGAGTTTTAGTATTTTTTTCCATTTTATCTTTTCTCAGAGCGAAGTAGAATCAATTGCCAGCTCAAAAGCATTATCCAAAGGAGTGATATCAGTTTCAGTGGAATCAATAATCATGTTTAATCCTTGTAGAAATCATAGGCAAAAGCGTAAGAGGATGGACAAACAGACTAATAATGTGACCTTAAAAGAAGAAGCACAAGTGAACCAAACATCAACTGCTGCACCATTGGGAAGGGCAGAAGTTTCCACTGACAATGGGCATACAAATACTCCTTTGATCCATTGTCCACAGAACGTGAGGTCTCAAGCCATATTCATCCTTGACAATGCTTCTCTGCAAAAGGGCCTTGTCAGAAAGGTACTTGTAGGTTAATTAGCAAACATCAATGTGTGAACCTTGTTTATGGGGCTTGATTGTTTGTTGGTTAACTTTGCTGATTTTCTAGTTATGAGGGATTTGTTAAAATTTGTTAATCTTGGTTATAGTACACCTTATTTATTTTGTGGTTTTCTTATGTGTGGTTCAGAAGTGGAAAATTCTGAGTTCAGATGACGATGCCCACCTTTTGCTGAATCAAAAGAAGAATCTTAATGATTATCGTCCTGATATAGTTCATGAGGTTGGTGCTTATTTCCTGGACCTAATCTTCCAATATCTTTAAGGTAAATCAATCAAACTTCTTGAACTAGAGTGAACATGAATAGATAAAAAGTAATGTTGTTTATGAAGGTACTCAAAATTGGATCAATCATTGAACTAATCAAGGCACTTATTGTTCAAATATTAATGGTCAAAACCGTAGTCGAACCGTGATCAAATTGATTAAACAAAGCTTTTTATTAAATTGGTCTAGATTCTAGTTTAATAATTTACCAATTCAACTAGGTAGGTTGGCTTGAATTTCCATACTATACTGTTTATGCAAAAGCTTTTCTCACAAAATAATATGTGCACCATTGATGAATATAGGATTATGGGTTACTTGCACAAGATTTGTGTCATCTCACACATTCCACTCTTGGTTGGTCACATTTTAGAAACAACCTTTGGAATTTTACAGGCTCTCCGCTCCATTTTAGACAGTCCTCTTAATAAAGCTGGCATGGTAGCAGCGATATATGTCAAAATTGATAAAGGAGTTCTTTTTGAAGTCACACCACATGTTCGTCTCCCACGAACATGTAAGCGATTTTGTGGTGTCATTTGTAAGTGTTCCTGCATATGACTTTCCTTCTTCCTTCATTCCGTTTTCTTTCACTGGGAGATTGATGTTTATTTTATATGTTTTTATGAATAATGGAACTTTTTTCCTGAATTCTATTTTGGTCTTATACAATACTTTAGTGGAATTGCTTCAAAAATCCCGTGTGCGTGCCAAAGATACAAATGAAATACTCCTTCGTGTTCTTGAAGAACCTGTGACACGCCATTTACCAGTCAATTCTCACATAGTAGGTGAGTTATTTTTACTGTTGGGTGCTTTTAGGTTTTTTGTTATCTTTCTACTTTGGCCAGTTGGTGATTTTCATGAAGCAAACAGATGTACAAATTAGCTTGCTCGCCATGCGTCTTACAACAATCTTGTTACTACGATTTTTGTAGAACCACCCTTAGGGTGTGGATGCTTTATGCGCTTTAATATGAACTAATTATTACCTTGCATGGTTTTCTATGGCCTTTTATTAAAAAAAATTTGTTGTTTTGAGGAGATGCAGGTCTCTCTTATAATTCGGAAAAGCTAGTTGACATACAGGATTATGTATCAGCCGTGAGTGCTGCTGTTAGTCCCGTATATGTGGTATGTTCCAATTCTATTAATGACTTAGCGTGGCATAAACTCTATTTTGAAGGGTGACATTTGGGTTTCAATAATTGTGATGTGTTCTCAGGTTGGTGCAATGGTGAATGGGAGTGTAAGGAAGGACTACATGCATGATCATATTTCAGGTAAAGGCTTTCCAAAATGGTAAAAGTAACTGTACCTTACAAAAAAATTCAAATTCCACCTTTATAGATAGAATTTAAAATTTTATAATTAAACTCTTGGTTAAATTACCTTAGTGGTTTTGAACGAAAATTTTCCAATGGAATGATTGAGATATTTTGAAAAAATAATTTTCCTTGCTTAAATTACTTCATCCACGAGCGATCTTAAAGCTTAATGGCCTTGGAACCATAATTCCATATTTCGAACCGTCAATCTCTACAAGTATATGTGATTCTCAATGCTTGTGTTCTAGACGTTGTGTCAAGTTGATACACACATATGGCGAAGTGAACTGGAAAGGTTGTCCCATTGACCTGTTAATTACATATCAGATGAAGTCAAAATTAATTGATCACATCACATACCAAACATTATTTTGAAACTTATTCCCACTTCCAATTTCATTCCCAATCCTTTGAAATTCAATATTTATACCAAACATGGCCAAGGGAGCTGGAGCTATTAATTTGAGTTTAGCCTAGATAAGTCTGAAAAATTTTGGGGTTGCTTTGAATACTCGTCTTTTTTTTTTTTAAATGGTATAATGTATATTTACTTCATTAAAAATATAATGTATTTTTAATTAAATTTTACCTCCTAATAAAGTAGTTACTTATCCTTAAATTAATATTATTTTTTTATATTTATTTTTATTTAATAGAGTGTTTCACTTTAAAATAAATATAAAATGATTTATTCATTACAGGCACTTTTGGATAAAAGGTAATAATTATGTTTTAAAATACTAAAAATGTCTTATATTTTTTGAACATTCAATTCTTCAAAAATTATCTTACATTTTTAAATGGAGGGAGTATTAAATATTTATTTCTTAAGACTTATAACATTTTTTTACTAAGAGATATTATGCAAATTTAAGTATGTTGTTACAGATATTTTCTTAATTTATTTAAAAGATCTATAATATTATACTTGTATTATTTTTAATATATAAAATACCTTAAAATGATCTTAAAAATGTATTTGAATCTTTATTTTCTTTAAAAAAATTTAAGTGTCTTCAATATTGTATTCATTTTTTCTTAAGAAAAAAAATATGGGGTCTTCAATATTTTTTAAGTGTCTCAAGAGGTGCATTATATATATATTTTTTATAATAACAACAATAATTATTAATAGTTAAGTAAAAATTCCTCAAGTCATCCTGGAGATAGTATTGCCAATTCTTCTAATAAGAAATCGTGAATCAAGCAATTGAACAACGCTTCATTCATACGTTGTATTACTGACAATGTCTTTTTACTCTGTTTTATCATGATATACTTCATGTACGTTGTGCTAATATCTTTTGTTGCTGTTTCAGTTTCTGGTTATCCACTATCTGCTAAATGCTGCATGGGGCTGATCTGTGAGGCGTTGGAGCAAAAATGGAATATCTTCTGAGTATATTCCGTTTGTTAATCGGTCAATCAGATGGATATAATAGAATGAATCAATAAAAATTGCAAGTATATTCTCCTTATTCATGTCAAGATTTTTAGCTTCTTCTTCTTTTCTTTTTTTTTTGGGGCAGATCAAAATTTCTTGTTTAAAATCAGCTAAAGAACCTGCAGTAGCAGCTGGAGTGGGAACTGTATCTCACAATGTTCTTTCCAGGGTAAATTAAAAATTTAGTAGCATACTAATTGCCCTGTGGTCTGTGGCAATTTTGAGGTTGGGTCAGGCGACTAGGTTTTGGAGCACCCCATGCAGCCCTACTAATTGGTCTGCAAAATTATTTGGGGAGAATGACAATTTAAGATATGACAAAATGGTTGAATGGCACATGAAGACTTCATCAGAATTTAAATTTTTAAATATTGAAGAATTTTGAAAAGTTTTGCTCACATTAATTTTGTTACGAGGTCCATAATTGTCATTCTCCTTATTATTATTTAACTCATTACAAGTAGGTATGTCATACTCATAATAGTGGCTCTCCAAATTACGTGGCAAATATTTGATTGTATTTTAAATTTATAATGTATTTTAATGATTTAGAAAGAATTTTATTGTTATTAGGATAACCAATTTTTTTAAAAAAATTTGATTTTGTTTTTAGCAAAAAATATAAAAAGTGGTCAATTCGCATCTTTCCAAAACAAGAAAAAAATTATATTGTTAGCGAGTTCCCATTTCTACTGGGCTCAAGCTGGGGCAAAAACTAACTCTCGAGGAAGTGAGTTTTCCAACTCGCACATGTTACCCTATACCTTATGGCAAGTTAGCTTGTAGCTTGTGAGTTGACTCATATTACTAGTTCTACTCTTAGTTTTTAACAACCATATAAATAAAGTCTTTAGGGACTAGCCATTTTTATGTAATAATAAAGAATTGCATTTATTCAAGTGCTATAATCAAATTCTAATTTCAAAAATTAAAAGGCAATTATAAGCATATGAAAGAGTAAAATATACAAGTATCTATACAGTAGGGGATGTGAGTTTTCCCAAATATGCTTTCTATACATCATAGCATATACAAAACCATTTTATCAGCATAAGCATACAAGTGTAAAAAAAAATGCATATGTGATCAAATTTGAATTTCAAATTACTTCTTGAATCCATACAACTTTTGTAAAAAGGGGACAGAAATGCTTTGAAAATTTTTTTATAGGAACACTAGATACTCTTATATTTTATGACTCGTTTGGTACAGAGCAATGTTTTTTATAGAAGTGGAAGTGAAAGTAGAAGTAAAAGTAAAATTTAAAAGTTTATTTGATATCCAAATGGAAGTGAGATATAATTTATATTATATATATAGTTATATTTTGAAAATATCAAAATACACTTAAAATAAAAATAAAAAAGTCCTCGTCTTCCTTCATTGTTCACTAGAAAACCAAGATTTGTTCATCTTCCACCAATTCTTAAAATACCCAAACAAGACTAACCTACCAAATTTCAAGATTTTTTGTTGGAAAAAGTATGTAATGAAAATTAGAGAATGAAAAATTGAAATTGAATAATATAAACACCAAAATCGTGCCTAAAAAGTTGCCAAGCTAAAATTGACCATTTTTGCTATAAATCAAGAGTAGCTAGAACCCATATTTACAAGCCTTGTCATTGGCGGAGAACCATTGGTAGTCATCCAAGATTTGTTTCTTTGATTCAATTTTCAGGTAAAGGACGGCGGAGAATCATCCCAAATTCACTGCGACGGACAATCATCCCAGACTCACTAGAACGGAGGATCATCACAAACTCGCTTTGACAGAGAATCGTCACGATGGTTGCTGGAGGAAGGCTGTTGCTACTGGCTGACGGTCGTTGCCACTGGTGGAGGGCCGTTGCTGTCGCTATCATTGTTGCTGGTGAAGGGTTGCTTACAGCTTGTAAGAACACTGTGAAAGAGGGAGAAGGCAGGGGCAAACGAGTCTAAGGGCATGATGGAACCTATTTTCATTGGGTAAGGCATAAAACCCAATTCCATCGATTTTGATGAAACTGGGTTCCCTAGAAAATCGGGTTCTATAGTACCAAACACACAAAAATATTGATTTCACTGCCACTTCAACTTTCCTCACCTCAATTCCTTCCTACCAAATAAGCCATTAGTTGAAACAATATTGCCTTATGACTTTTAAAAAGGGTACAATTTTGCCATGTTATCAGAGTTGACTGTTTATTGACCGTTTGCTTCATTTTATTTGCTATGTGGCAAACACATGGCATTTTAAAAAATTAAAAAAAAAAGCACTAGCAAGCTGCCACCTTTATCACTATCATTGTCAAAAAAGAAATAATTGCCTAAAAATTAATCAATCCAAAACTCAACAACAATCAATCCCAAAGAAAATTGCACAAGACCAGATAAGAAATCAAAGATTAGAAAATCATAGATAAAAGAAATGAAGCAAATCAAAGTGAAAGGGGGGTTTAAAGAAAGGAATCGAACATAAAGAAATTGGACATCAAGCCCAAATCAAAGAAAGGTATCAAACACAAAGGAATTGGCCATCCTCCATTTCAGTTGCTTTAGTCTGACATGCAATCTTAGCACATGCTTGAAGGAGAGGAGGTGATAGACAAAGGATAAGGTTATCAAGAATCTTAGCCATGTTTGAGCTTGAAGATGAATGTGAAAGTCCTCCTGATTTAGCTAGAATTGTATAAACCAAGATCTATATAAGATTCATTCAAGTACAAAGGGACAGATCGACAAGATAAAAGGTGAGGTTTTCAAAGGGAGGGTGTTAAACCAGGAGCAAGAGTGACATAGGTTTTTGATAGACAATACATATTGGAATTAGAGAGGTCAAGCTCAGTGACAGAGGTGTTAACGGGGCAAACATCAAACCAAGAGCATAGTTGGACATCATCTTTATTCTAAGAGGAGAGGGAAGAGTCTAGGTCTTTCATTGGGGTAGAGAGAAAGAGAGGTAGAGGGTATAGATGGAAAAAAAGAGAGTGTGGAAATAGAATCAGAACTCTTATTCTTTAATCTTTTTTGGGCAGAAAATAGAAAAAGAAGATGATGATGATGGTAAAGGAGGAAGAGGAGAAGCTACAACGTTTGCAGCCACGTGCGAGTAATGAAGGTATAAGCAATTTTTTTATTTTTTTTAAATGCCATATGTTTGCCATGTGGCAAATAAAATGGAACAAACTGTCAACCTTGACAATAGGGAAAAATTGCATCCTTTTTAAGTTTCAAGACGACATTACTCTATCTAAAAAGTAAGAATACCTAGTGTTCTTTTCAGAAAACTTTCAGGGCATTTTTGCCTCATAATCCATAATAATTTATAACTTTTCAAATATTGTTTCTTAAAGCATGGTCATATAGTATAAATATCATCCTTGTACTTAATCATTATTCAGGTGATTCAATATCAAACCAAAATTCATACTGTTCAAATGCTTAGAAACCCTGGTTGGCTTGACCTTACTCAAGCTATACGGGCTGGTCGAGTCAGACACCGAACAAGGGTCAAACCTTGCCTTGCTTAAAGTACACAATTTTTTTTCCTTTTTAAATTTTTTATTTGTGAATTGTTTAATAGTATTATCATTTTTAAGATTTATCATGTCTTCATGGACATTTGTTAATATTATGTAAAAGAAATTGGTACTTAGCATATATAATTTTAAAAATAACTACTTTTATCTTGATATTAGTTTCATAAAAATGTATTTTCAATTATAGTAATAATATTTTTTTGTTGAAGGATAAAATCTTTTTTGTTTTTAAAAATTATTTTCTAAAAGAGTTCTTTCGAGTAAGGCTAAACCCAACCTAAGCGTTCAGGCACAGGGTTGGTCTGTAACATTTCAAAAAATTTTCCCATGATTTATTAATCTAATAAAGGGTAATTATGAAAATTTAAGTATAATTGGGTTTGAGGATAGTTAGAGATGTCTATTAGGTTTGGCTTTAGCTTTTGGATTGGGTTTGAAAGTGAATTTGGTCACTCGGGCTCAAATTGTAAAGAGAAATTGAATTTTTAGCCTACTGTACATTATGTTATGGCATAAAAAATTATGCCATAGCATAATTTCTTGAACTAATTTTTAAAACATGAAATTCAATTTGAAAAAAAGAGTGTGAGACCTGAAACAAGAGGGAGACCAACAGAGTGTTTTCTTTGCTAGGGCATCAACACTTGGGCATTTTGGAGGTTGCCTTCTTCATCTCTTCTTCTTTCCTTTACACATTTTGGAAGTGAGATTTAAGGTTGGGAGATGATGATTTTCAGATTTAAAGCTATGGGTTTAAACCCATTAGTTTAAATGACACTAATGGAAGTTGTTTAAGTATTTTACACATAGTTTAGAGGTTTTTACAAGATTGTAAGCTTGGGTTATCTATTTTGGACGAAATCTAGACCTCCAAAGTGTAATTTTGGATTGTTGGGTGTTATATTAGTGATTATTTAAGTTAATGGAAGTTAAATGGAGTTAATAAAAATTAATAAACCTAATGGTTATACTTAGGTGCAAGAGATTGGAATTTTGAATAATTAAAGTGTTGATTTATGGAAGTTGGAAGAGTGTTTATAATGATTTTAATGATGATTAGTATAATTAATTATAGACCAATCATCTTGTGCACCATTCAAGCTTTGGTATAACTTGTGAAGAACTTTTATTGAGGGGGTAAACCTTTGACTTCTCAAAATTTGAGGTAACTGGGGAAAACCTAATTTATATAATTGAATATTAATTGATTATTTATTGAAATGGTTGATTTAAAAGATGTTTAATATTTTTAAACTCATGATGCAAATTTGGCATGGTTGGTGATGTATTACTGTTGTAATTATATATATGTTCATATACATGTTAATAGTAATGATGAATGAGAAATTGTGATTATGTACTAGTTGTGTGTGGAGTGAGTTAAATGTGAGTATGGATATATGGATTCATAATATGAATGGTTGATTAGAATGCATATACATATGTGATATACGTGCATTGCATGATTATTGGCAGGAGTTTGCCAAAGGAGATGAGTAGTTGACTAAACCCATGTGATATTGGCAGTGACTGTTGAAATCAAGAGCTTGTCTTGGCACTTACCATTAAAATCAGGAGGTAGCCCTTGTCTTATAGTTGATTTGGGATTGTTTCACTTATTCTATAAGGGACTCAAACCTAACTAGTCTCCACTGATTCATGAGGAGGCTAGTTTA